TTCAAAAGGTTTCACGCTATGGTGGAGAGACAAACTGGTAAACCTTTGAAGTGTCTTCGCTCAGATAATGGAGGGGAATATACTTCCCATGAATTCAAGAATTATTGTGCTGATCATGGAATCAGGCATGAGAAGACTGTACCTGGAACCCCACAACATAATGGTGTGGCTGAAAGAATCAATAGAACCATTATGGAGAAAGTGAGGTGTATGTTAAGAATGGCTAAGCTACCTAAGCCATTCTGGGGTGAAGCTGTTCTAACGGCGTGCTACCTGATCAACCGATCTCCATCTGTTCCTTTGGGCTTTGATATCCCTGAGAGAGTATGGTCCGGACATGATGTTAAATACTCTCATTTGAAGGTGTTTGGATGCAAAGCTTTTGCTCACGTAAACAAGGAACAGAGGCGAAAACTTGATGATAGAGCCATTCCTTGTATATTTTTGGGCTATGGAGATGAGGAATTTGGCTACAGGTTATGGGATCCAGAAAAACGAAAAATTGTCAGAAGCAGAGATGTAGTGTTCCATGAGCAAGAAACTATGTCTGATTTTGCTTCACCAGAAATCAAAGAACCAGGTGGTAAGGTGGATCTTTCACCTGTAGAACCTCCTAGAGATGCAACAGTAGGGGGAGAGTATGATGGAGAACTCAGGGTTGATGATGAACCAGCAATTGAAGATGGTGATGGTGAAGGTGTCAAGCAAGAAGACCTCGAAGCTCTGCCTCAGCTCAGGAGATCAAATCGAGCGATCCAACCATCTACGAGGTACCCTAGTTCCACGTATATTACCATCACGGAAGAAGGGGAGCCAGAAAGCTTTGGAGAAGTACAAACTCATAAGGATAAATCCCAGTGGATGAAAGCTATGCAAGAAGAAATGGATTCACTGGTGAAAAATGAAACTTATGAGCTTGTGAAGCTTCCGCAAGGCAGAAAAGCCTTGAAGAATAAATGGGTGTTCAAGCTTAAGAAAGATGGTGACAAGCTGTTGAAGTACAAGGCTCGCTTAGTCGTGAAAGGATTTGGACAAAAGCGAGGGATAGATTTCGATGAAATCTTCTCACCGGTGGTAAAGATGAGCTCTATTCGAGTAATACTCGGATTGGTGGCTAGCTTGGATCTGGAGCTTGAACAACTAGATGTGAAGACTGCATTTGTTCATGGAGACCTAGATGAAGAAATCTACATGGAGCAACCAGAAGGATTTGAGAAGACTAGAAAGGAGCACATGGTTTGCAGATTGAAGAAGAGCTTGTATGGATTGAAACAAGCTCCACGACAGTGGTACAAGAAATTTGACTCGTTTATGGCGAGCCATGGATATACCAAGACTGATGCAGATCATTGTGTGTTTGTTAAGAAATTTCCAGGTGATAAATTCATTATTCTTTTGTTATATGTAGATGATATGTTGATAGTGGGACAAGATATGAAGCTAATTGGTGATCTGAAAAAGGAATTGGCAAAGTCCTTTGAGATGAAGGATTTGGGACCTGCGAAACAAATTTTAGGCATGCAGATCATGCGAAACCAAAAATCGAGGAGGTTATGGTTATCGCAAGAACGGTATGTGAATCGGATTCTGGAGAGATTCAACATGAAAACGGCTAAGCCAGTCAATACACCGTTGGCTAATCACTTCAAACTCAGCAAACAAAGTTGTCCTACGAGTCAAGAAGAAAAAGAAGCTATGGCGGCCGTTCCATACTCCTCGGCAGTCGGAAGTTTGATGTATGCCATGGTTTGTACTAGACCAGATATTGCTCACGCGGTTGGAGTTGTTAGCAGGTATCTTTCCAATCCTGGTAAGGATCACTGGGAAGCTGTGAAGTGGATTTTGAGGTACCTAAAAGGTAGTGCAAATAAATGCTTGAGCTTCGGCAAAAGAAACCAAATTCTTGAAGGTTATACAGATGCAGATATGGCAGGTGACCTGGATAGTAGAAAATCTACTTCAGGACTTGTGTTTACCTTTGCAGGAGGAGCTGTATCTTGGCAATCTAAATTGCAGAAATCTGTTGCCTTGTCGACTACTGAAGCCGAGTATATTGCACTGGCAGAAGCAGGGAAAGAAATGCTTTGGTTGAAGAGGTTTCTTCAACAATTGGGAATGAAGCAGGAAAGGTACGATATCCATTGTGATAGTCAGAGCGCATTGGATTTAAGTAAGAATGCGATGTATCACTCTCGCACGAAGCACATTGATGTCAGATATCATTGGCTACGTCAAGCAGTGGAAGAACAACAGTTCAAACTGGAAAAGATTCACACTGACGAAAATCCTGCTGACATGATGACGAAAGTTGTAACAGGAGGAAAGCTTCAGCTTTGTGCCGAGTTAATCGGCATGGAATGCATGTAAAGATCTGTAGTATATTACCCTTTGGCTGGAGGGGGAGAATTGTGGGATCCAGCCAAATTGCATATGGTGTCCAGCCACAAACAAACAAAACTAAAGGTTGGCAGCAAAAAGAAAATTGAGAATGGGGTGGCAGGAGCTCACCACCATCACCGAAAGCAAAAAAGAAAAAATAATAAAAAAAAAATGATAGCGCAGGTTTTGTGCATTCCTCCCATCTATAAATAGAGGGATACTCAGCCAAGGAAATACACACCAAGCGAGAAGAAAAAGAGAGAGCAAGAAAAGAAATAAAAATATTTCTTGTGAGTGTTATTTTTCAGTGAGAGAAAAATAGAGTGTTTGAGTAAATCCTGTGAGTGTGGGAAAAATACACCGGGTCCGGTATCATCTCTATTGCTCCTTGTTTGTAATAATTGAATAGGAGTGGGGTTTCACTGGGTCACTATATTTTACATTTCTAGTGTAAGGGAGTGTGAAAAGATATTGTAATTATCTTGAAAATATAGTGGAATTGTTCGGAGGTTGTCCCGTGGTTTTTTCCTCTACTTTGGAGGTTTTTCCACGTTAAATCTTGGTGTCTTATTTCTTGCATATTTTATTTAATTGGGATATTATTAGTATGCTCTGTGGTTGCAGTTTAATCTGATCTTCCACATCAGAAAAGAATTATTCCTACTTGATTGCAAGAGATTTTTTTTTTTTATTTCACGTTGGTGTTTTAATTTACACCTTCCGCATTTGCGCAACTGAGCCCAACAATAAAGACTAGACAATATGTCGAATTTGTATGTGACGTGAAGAACTGTCGACCAGCAAATGAGACATAACTCCACTTGTACTCTATCATATGACAAAAAAAATTATATTTTTATCAAATAATGGACCAAAGATAAAAAAACACTGATATTTTGAAGAATTAAAACAAAAACAGGAAATTTACATGAATAACTAAAAAACAATTCTTGGTGGGATACCAAATAAAATGTGAGCCACCAAAACACTACAATAATAGGATGAGAAAACGTGATTTAGAAAATTTAAACTTCAAGGCATTGAAAGTAAGTAAAGTTCAAAAAAGATAAAACGAAGTGAATGTGCCGGCTACTTTAAAGAAAGCAGCACATTTTCTCCAACATTGATTCTTGTAAACAAAACCTAAAACCCTAGTAGCGTTTGAACATAGAAAATAGCTTGGTGGGGGCAAAAACACAGTTCAAATCTTCTTCATAATTTGAATAAATTAAGTATAATCTATTAATCTGTATAGTACTTTAGAAGTTCAAATTAAGAATTTAACAGGACGACGCTCGCAAACGACCCTCGATAAAGACATTTTCACTAATTACTCTTTTGAAAGTAACTTTTCTATTGTTTGGGTAAAAGCAATTTTCAACCCCATTATGCAATAATGTAAAATTCATAATTATTTCAACTACAAATATATGATTATGTGTCACTAATTCACATCTCCTCCAATTATTAATAACAATAACTAATAGAGCACTAACACCAGTGTATTATTTTTCAATTATAAAATATTTTTTCTAATTCAAATTATTTAATAAGCATGATAGATAAACTTATTCATTTAATAAATCACAATTTGTTATTTTTCAATGAAAACTGAGTAGGCAATTTATTTTTTATTAGTAAAGGTAGTAAAGGCAGATATATTTATTTTATATATGCAATACGGATGTTAAATCAAATATCGTTAAAAGTTAATATATTATATATACGAAATTGATAACATATAAAACAAATTAATATGTTTAAAGTATAATTAGAATTCAAATTGACATTATGTTTAATAATTTTTAAAACCATAATAAAAGTAGATAAATGTCCAAACTTATATATGAACTACAGTATTTGGAATCAGAATTTGACATATACTATTACACAGAAATGCTATGAAACCATCAGATGGTTATCTTATGGAGTCATCCATAACTTTAGATATTGACACGTGTCCAATGTGTATTTATTGTAGGACACGTGTCAATACACCATTTGTGGATAATTATGGATTGCTCCATAAGTCGGGTCATCCAATAGCTCCATAGCAAAACCGTAATATTACAAAGCATAAGAAAGATATCATGCATGATTGTGATCAATTACTAAAACTTCACATTTCCACTAAAAAGGTTCTACAGTTAATGGATTGTCCATTCAATCACACAAGTTTTTGTATGAGACGATGTTAGGCAAGTCAATCCGTCAATTTTTTTTAACAAAAATACATACTTATGATGTGAAATATATTAATATTGTGTTTCAACATTACATTTTAATAAAAAAGTTTATAAATTCAATAAAAATATGATTGTTTAACATTAATGTTTCAATAATTGAGTGAAGGAAACTATCTGAGTATTGAGATATCAAAAAGCTCTTTAGAACCTTCCATTATCTCAAAACGTACCACCCACTCAACAACAACGTACAACCCCAATCCCTCCTCTATAAATACCGTCTCCTCCAATACAATACACTAACATCCGATTTTCTCCAAAACAATGGATACAATCACTTTTCAACACTTTCTCCTCAAACTCTCTCTCCACACCTCAATCTTCAAACACAACACCGCACCCCAAAATGGAACGATCCAAAGAATTCACCTGAAAATGGAGCACAATTTTCCGGCGGCGGCCAAAAAGCTCTGGCACGCCGTCCGCGTCGCCTATTTCGTGCTCCGGAAAAACGTGTCCCGGCCGAAACTGCTCGCAGATCTGAGCGCCGCGATGAAGCGCGGAAAAATCGCCGGAAAATCAGCCGCGCACAACCTCGCTTTCCACCGCGGGGAGGAAGGCATCGACCGCCAGATCCCGCGGGGAGAGTACGAGTTCAGCTGCAGCGAGACGCCGGCGCACCGCGCGCTCCGGCTGACGTTTCGAATGAGCAAGCGGAAGCGGTCGCCGTCGCCGCCGCGGGCGGAGGAGGGGCCGAGCGAGGAGGAGATTTTAGCGGCGGCGGCGGAGGAGATCTTCGGAGCGGCGGCGGCGTCGCCGGATCTGCCGGGATTCGGGGGGACGGCGGCGGTGAGGCAGCTGAGGGTGACGGACTCGCCGTTTCCGGTGGTGGATGCGGGGGAGGACTGCGGTAGGGTGGACGAGGCGGCGGAGAGGTTCATCATGAAGTTCTATAGGGACTTGAAGCGGCAAAATAATTTGGCGGGTTGAACTTTTTATTTTTTTTAGTTTTNAATTCTGGCCAATCTTAGAAGGAAAAGGAAAGCAAAAGGTTAAGAGCATAGGTTTTTTATGTTCTTTTCTCATCTTCCTAAATCACATAAACCTCTAATCATTTTCTTGTTTAGTATTAATTTTGTCACTCATTGTTCGAAACCTTTGTACATGCTTTTGCAAGTATTTCCTTCAAAATCTTACAAATTTCCACATTTTCAAGTACATTTCTTACAGAAAAAATCATATGAGTGGTCTTGGAACAACACAAACCAAAAGACAATCTAAGAGGTAGTTAAACAGATTCAGTCCAAAAAGCAGAAGTACAAAACAATACATCATTCCACAAATCTTGGAACAACACAAACCAAAAGACAATCTAAGAGGTAGTTTATATGCTCTTTTACGCATATAACTTACCTCTTCTAAATAATTGCACATATGTTAACTTGATAAATTATTTGCACCTATCTCTTTATATTTTTTTCCGTTTGCTTTTGGAAAAAAGTAACTGTTGTGAGTTTTGAAACGCAAGCTAAATATAGATAGATAGATGGAGAGAGGCGTTTTGTTTTTTCCTGTCAACGGAGCCCAGCCCATTTTGAGTTGGTTTTACACCTGTAATCAGGCCCAGATTACAAGACTTATTTAAGTTGGACTATGAACCACGCAGTTCAGTGCAAAATTACATCCAAATTGCCAAAAAAAAAGAAATTGTGAAATATTCTAATAAAATTGTACCGCAACACACACACACACACAAAAAAAAAAGAAGAAAATAATAATAATAATAAAATAAAATAAAAAATAGGTTTAAGAGATTTGATTATTAAAGATTCTCTTATGATAATCATTGTTAAATCCCCCAAATGTTTTCATTAAAAAACTGTTCACTAAGCATCAATCATGGAGGGGGACAGCACGTGACTCTCACGTGACATCCCTCTATACATATCAAAGAGGAGGCTCCAAGTGTCCCATTCACATTTGCAACGAGACATTAGGCAAGTGATTGGGCAGCCCAAATTATAATGATAATTCAGAAAAATTAAAATAAATTTGAGTCCATAATTTACTTATATCATGCAGAGGAAAGTCAGTAGAGGTTAGTGGATTTATTTTATCTTTTTTTCTTCCTTTTATTCCTTTTTTTTTTTTTCCTATCTTTTTGTGCAAGTTCGCAGTGTTTTCATGTGAGGCAATGTGCTTTCATGCGTACAAACCAACAAAATAATAAAGCTAAAAGTAAAATAATATCTCATTTTCAAATTCCATTAACCATTTGAGGTTCACAATATATATCATTGATAAGACATGCAAAGTAATTTTAAACTCAAGTATAGGAGTATTTATGTTGGGATCTCATTTTCGATGCTTTTACCGACATTAAGGCCATTTTGTGTGGTGCTCAACGCATGATCTTATACTTTTGATACCATACTTTCGTCTACTAATCACTCCGATTAAGTAAATTACATGAGCAATACATGAACTATAGATTAAGTTGACATTATATAAACATATATTATGATATAAATTTGATTTGGGAATTGGGAGATTCAATTTGAATAAGTTGTCACTTTCTTTGCACATTTTTCTTGTACATTTATATGGGAGTGTGGGAATGAATTTGTGGCTAAAAACTCACAAATTCTGATCAATACATATCGACATTATATCTAATTCTCGAATGCGCTTAGTTTAAATGAAAGACTTGTATGTTTTGTAGTGACACATGTATAAGTGTAGTTTTTACGATTAGGCTTGAAAATTATAATAAACCAATTTATGTTTTTTTTTTCAAAAAAATTGACCATATACTATACCCTTACCTTTTATTATTTAATTCATATACTAATTATTATAAATATGTATTCTTTTTATTTTTTAAACTTTATACTAACTTTTTTATTTTATTTTTTATATATGATATATCTAAATAATCACATTTTAATGATATTCGATTTCACATCCATATGCATATATAATTTAATTTCATATATCTATATAAATAAATTTGATTTTATTATCAAATCAATTCAAAAATACCAAATAACAATATAAATTATTTTATATTAATAGTAAAATCTAATTCTATAATACAACAAAAAATAATCATTAATGTGTTTTTTTATAGAAATTTGGATTAAATATAGAAATTAGTATTACATAAAATATATTTTTAAAAAAAATGTTTCTCAATTTAAATAGGTTATATAAAGAACTGAATGTTATTATGTTATTTATAATAATAAATATAAAGAATAACCTAATTTAAAATACTAAAATAATTATATATTTCACAAAGTTAGAAAACAATACATTTATGCGTAAATTAATATTTTAAATATTTTAATATTATGAATTTAAAATTATTAAAAAATTAATAAATGAGAGACACTGACTATATATATAAAAAAAATATAATCATAATACAATAAAAAAGTTTGTTCCTAAAAAATCATAATTAAATCTATGGAGTGTGTTATTAACTGATTTAGACATATATATAATTTTAAATATAATTAAAAAATAACATTCTTGACAAATTAGTTTAAAAGTACGGGTGTCATTTTGGAATTAGTTATCACTTTTTTAGTTATTTATTATTGTTGCATATTCATTATAGATAATTTCACAATAAAAATATAACTTATTTTAATTTATTTTATTTTACAAATATTAATATATTTAAATCCTCGTGTAGTACACGGGTATCATACCAGTTTTAAGATTACATTTATATTTTCTTGAAGCATTAAGAGCGTCCATAGTACTTTTAATTCATTTAAAAAAATATATAGGTCACGTAAGAAATAGACTCAGTTCAAAAAAATATATACTAAAATGTAGGTGCAAATGGATAGAGAAAAATAGATTCAATCTACCATTAAATTTATTTTAGACCAAATAGAAACTTAGTCTCTTTACATTGGAGTTAATTTTGTTAATTTTATATATTTTTCTTCAATCATTTAAAACTTATGTCGAGAGAGTTTGAGAGAAAGTAGACCCGAAGCTTATGATAAAGAATAACATCCAACTATTTTAAAATGACACCAATCATTTTTCCTAATTTTCCAATTTTGGCCTTCCATCTGCCATAAAATACCCACTATTTCTCACAATCGCTCCCAACACAACGGCCCCGTTTTAAACTTTAAATAACTCAAAACCATCACACTCTCTCTCTACCGTTATCCCTGTTTTCCGTCGCTTTTCCCGTTCGCCGATCACTGAACGTTTAAAATAAAAGAAAAAATCGCGTTATGGAGTACTTTTCCGGTGATTATGCTGAGCTCTCGTCGGCCGACAACGTGGATTTCAACGCTACTGGCGCTCATTTCACAGTGGACGATTTGCTGGAGTTCTCCAAGGATGACGAGACGATTGCCGACGCGTTTCCCGACGGCCTGGCGGGGAATTCCGGCGACTCCTCCACCGTCACCGCGGTTGATAGCTGCAATTCGTCGGTTTCCGGAAGCGGCGGCAGCGCCAGCTGCCGCAGCTTTAACGAGATGCAATTTTCTGGCGACGAGCTGTGTATTCCGGTATTTTTTTTTTTTACATTTTTTCTTCGCGATTTTCCCGCCAATTTTANTTACTTTTTTTTTTTTTTATGCAATTTTGATTTGTCCGCTACTTTTTAAATTTTAATAATACAAAAATATGATGTTAGTGAAAAATTGGTCATGATTCTCACGAAGTTTTTCATTCACTTTTCCTAAAAATAGAAAATATTGGTCTTTACTTTAGTTTGTCAAATAAGTAAATAGCAGAAACTTAAAACTAATCCGTTGAATTATTTTATTTTGAATACTTTGTTTTTCGATCCAATCCGCTTATTTAGCAGCTAAAATAAAAAAAATCAGGTTGTTTTTTGCGGTAATTATTAATTAATGCATTCAATTTTCGACTAATTTTCCGTTTTTCCTTTTATAACAGTATGATGATTTAGCCGATCTGGAATGGCTTTCGAATTTTGTGGAAGAATCTTTCTCCGCCGGAGGCGGCACAACCGTCGCCACCAACTCCTCCTCCTCCTCCTCCACCCTCACAACCACCACGCACTACTCGCCGCCGCCGCCGCCGCCGCTGTTCTTTCCGGCCGACGCCTCGGTCCCCGGCAAAGCGCGTAGCAAGCGCTCACGCGCCGCCCCCTGCGACTGGTCTTCCCGCCTCTTCGTCCTCTCCCCCAAGGCAGCGCCGGCGAGGAGGAGGGAGCCGGCGGATGCCCCCGGCCGGAGATGCCTCCACTGCGCGTCGGAGAAGACCCCACAGTGGAGAACGGGCCCGATGGGCCCGAAAACCCTGTGCAACGCGTGCGGCGTCCGGTACAAGTCGGGGCGGCTCGTGCCCGAGTACCGGCCCGCGGCCAGCCCGACTTTTGTTTCAGCCAAGCATTCAAATTCGCACCGGAAAGTGATGGAGCTCCGGAGACTGAAGGAGGTTCAAATCCGTAGAGCGCATGTCAACCATCAGATGTTCAACGGCTGTGATGAGTTCCTAATTCATCAACATAGTAACATTAACGGTCTGGATTTTAGGCACATGATTTAGTGTACCCACACCACATGCTTGCTAATTTTCTTTTTTCTTTCTTTAATTAGTCCTAAGTCTTTTTTTTTTTTTTTTTTNTTTGAAATAGAAGTGGAGGGAGGTTACTATGGTTTAATTCAATTGTAGTCGTTGTAATGCACATTTTGATTTTAAATTTTGAAGTCAACTTATGGCGCTTACCTTAATAATGTGACTTTGCTAGTAAGCTTCTTGAGTGTTAGGTGAATTTATGCAACAATTGGTGTATCATTAATTCTGGAATGACACTGACTTATAGAGTTATTAGTCGTAATATTCACAAATGATATATTTACATACATATTAGAATATACTTAACAAGCGTCAATACATCAATTTATAAATAACTTTATAAGAACTCATCTGATGACTTCATATAATTTTTAATTGGTGCATATGTAATGTAATTACTACATAAAATTTTATTAGTTTGATGGTTGCTTCATTGAGGTCTAATACTTGTACCCATATAATACTTGTTGGATATCCATTTTTATCAAGTATTTTATGCACTATGGTTTATACTTTATAGTACTATAAAATTGACTTGCAATATTCAGCATGCTTTNTTATTTCGATATTTTGGGTGATTATTTGTGCTTCCTATAAAAAAATACTTTTTGTTTGTTTTTCATTTTATGCAATTAGGATATGATCATAATTAATATTTACAGGTATCATTCTCAATCAGTGAGTGTTGGTTTAAAATATTGTGTAATAGTTACTCAACTTACATGTGAAAAAGTTAGAGGGGATGGAGGGAATTTGATTTGATTTGATTTGCTTGTTGATAAAGTAAAGATGATTATGGTTATCTTAGGAAGAGCCAAAAGGATAGAAAAAGTGTGTGTGAAGAAATATAAGCTGGAAAGGATAACAAAGGGTTAAAATTAAATATTGCAATCATGGGAATGGGTGCAGAGCATTTTTACCAAGAAGCCAAAGTATTGGGGCCATGGGTTGTTTAATTGTATTTGTGTCTACATAAATTTCATTGAACTTTGATAAATTGGCACATGGAGGGGCTCATGTTTGCTCTCAAACCAAATACAACGGTCCTTCAATTGTAAATAATTTAGGAACTTTTTAGTCCTTTTGTTATAATATTCAAATTCATAATTTATGCATAATACATACCAAATGTTCATTGAGGACAATAATTTGCAGCATGGTTTTCGAAATCGGGCCAAATAAGTCGGTTGGACAGGTAACCGGTCACCTAGCTGGTTCAATCTGTTTATTGATTAGCAATTGGCAGAATTAGTAAAAAGCTGGTAAAAAAATCGGTCAGCCAGCCGATCCTTGTTTTTTGTTTAAATAATAAATAGTATTAGTATATTTGTTTATTATTAACATAAATAAAAATAAATATCTTGGAATGATTTTTTTCTAGTTTCTTTAAATAAGTCTTCCATGATGCCATACAATTTCTTGAATCATGGCTAGTCCTATATAATATTTCTTGGTCCTATCAATTAGTCCAATACCTTTACAAACTCGTATACTATATAATAACTATGACTCTTTAATGTTGACTTGGGAGATATTAGAATTTTATATTTTGGGGAGCTCTCTTTTAAGAAGAAAAGAGAAAAGTATTTTGTAATTAGTGATAATCTCGGACTAATCATGATATTATTAAATAAATAAATAGCAAGTAAACATTAACATGGATTTCAGTGAGTAATGGGCATTGTTAAGGAGGACTATTTTTTGAAGAGGGAATTATAAACACCGTGTGGTGTACGAATTGGTAGATATATACATCACATACATTGAGGTGTGCTTAGAATCAAACGTGGGATAATTTCTAGATATTGGAATAGCTATCAAATAAGACATTATCCAATATACTAATTTAATTTGCAAACTCCAATAATTTAAAATTTGATTGACTATGCAAAACTATAGCGAGGATTGTAAACGAATTGAATCGAAGTTAGTAATAAACTATTCAATTCAGATTCATAAAATAATTGAGTATTTATATTTGTATTCAATTTACTATTAGATATGATTTATAATTCGATTTGGATTCATTTAAGATAATTGAATATATTTGACTCGATTCTATTTTTTTTTACCTTAGATGGAAAACTAATGGAAGTTCGAATACATAAACAATTCTTAAGATGTATTGTTTAAGTGAATTAATCTTAGCTTAGATGGTGTGGATGATGTTTTTCTTAATCTAATTTGATTGAGTGTCTAGTATACTGAACAATTTTGTTGATTAATATGATTTATTTGTGTATCTAGTTTACCAAACAATTTTGTTAATTAGTACAATTAATTATGCCAGGGAATAATAAACCAATATTAATTTAACAATTGTTTTCCCTAAACATATAAAAACTGTACCGAACTAGTGATTCAATATCCAATAGTGTGTTTGGCCTAGTACATCAACTTAGTACAAATTTCTATTTGGCCCATTCAACAATTTGATTATATATCCATAAACCCACCTTACCAAGCAAGCACACTTTTAGTTTGATTTTGAACAGTCTTATTACACATGGATTCCAATTTATTGAACTTTATTTAATAATTAAATTCAAAGTAGAAGGTCTAATTGTTTTAAATCAGGAGTTTAAAATAAAGTGAAAAATATGTATTTTTACTTCGAAATATAATTGTACTAAGTTTTCACTCTGCCAAGTGAAAAATTATGTTTTTCACCCTGTGCAAGCGATTGTGCTATCATATGATGCAATATATGTTATGGTCAATGTGCGACCATTGTGCGATTATGCAAATAATTAATGTTCGTGCGATTTTTTATCTGAGGTAAAAAAAGTGTTTAGAATATACGGTGTGTAAAAGAAAGTATTAACTTTTTTTTTTAGGTGAAAAAAGATATTTCCTCTAAACTCACACATTTATATTAATGTGTATGCTATTAATAGAGAGACTTTGCATGTGGAGTGAATTGAGAGGCACATGGATTTTGTGTTAGTTGCATGACTGTTTGTGTACAGGATTTATCAAATGGTTGGGATAATAATATATAAAATACTTTTCAAAGAAGCTAATGGATTTATCAAATGGTTGGGATAATAATAATAAATATACTTTCAAAGAAGCCAAAGGGGTGGCTGTGTGTGTCCATGTCTTTGGGATCTTTGCATGTTATTTGTGTCATACCTCATTTTCTTCTCACATTTACTCTCCTATCTTAATTTTTTTTCTATTATTTCATTTTTCTATTATGGCCTAAGCCATTAACACGTTGCTTTACTAAGTAAAATAATCATGAGATTTATTTATTTTTTATTTTTTTAATTTTTTTGGCTGGCCTTTCAAAAATCAAAACTATTTTGTGTTTGCACCTTCAAATTAGAAGAGGTCTGAATATGAGAGTAACAGTAGTTATGCACTTATGCTCCTCATGAATTGGCATGACTGGGGAAAGTGATGAAATTGTTATTGTTTATATTTACACGACGTATTTAGCCCAAATAATTAATCGTAAACCATAACATATTCAAAATTGCGGTATACGATTTTTCAACCATAATTAATCCCAAACCATAACATATTCAAAATTGCGGCGTGCAATTTTAATTCATATTAACGAGTCGAGTTCGAGCCTTAACGAGTCGATTTCAACTTTTAACGAGGTAAACTATAAAAAAATTTAAAAATAAAAATTATATTTTCGAGCCTTATTAAGTCGAGCCGAGTTCGATTTGTTACCCAAACGAGCTTTAAGCGAGCTCGAACCCGACTTGTTTATCAAACGAGTTAAACCGAATTCGAGCTTTAATTAGCCGAGCCACACCGAACTCACGAGCGACTCGTTTCGTTTAACAGCTCTATCACTAATATAATTCATGCATTGAAATTTATACTATGTTTGTATTAATCATCATTCCACACAAACCCTGTGTCAAAATATCGAGATCTTTTTCCCTATAAAGTGACATCATTGTTTTATAAATTGCACATAATCATATATATTAAATATTACTTAATTTATGGTTTATGAACATGGCAACGATCCATTGCTTATTAAAACATGCTATATGCATGAGAATCAATTAGTTAAAACTTAAAAGTGATTTACATCACCTTATCGAAACTATTGGGTTTCTATATGGGCCCTAATAGTCCAACCCAATCAATTATAGATGGAAGGACGTTATTCCAAAAGGTGGACTATAAAAAATCAAGCCCATACATGGCTTGGACTCAGAAGGCCCGTCGGGTCGATCAAGATCCGGGTTAAATAACCCGAATAAATGGGTCGTGGGTTGTCGATGGCCGACATAATAAGCAAAATTCAAAATTCGGAAAAGGAAAATGTTGTCTTCTCCTCCTCGGCCCTAGCTGCAATTTTCAAACCATATCCTAACTCACTCCGATCTTGTCGCCGCGCGTGGACGAGTACTACCACCCTTACTCGCCGTATCTACCGATCGTCATAATCGGGGAGAACCCTTTTTCCCTTTTTAAGTTTTTAGTGGATTTTATATCCATTTTTCCTCTGAGCAAAGACCAATTGCAACTCGTGAGCTGGTTTCTTTTAGGTTGGCTAATTTAATTTTTAACCCCATTTCAATTAACTGAAAGAGGAAAGAACCGGCACCTGTCAGTTCTGTAAATTATTTTGCAACCTCGGAGATAAGATTGATACTATTGTACACCTTGTAAATGCATAAATTCGTTAGTCCAGTACCTTTTTGTTTGCTAATTATGTTTTTGTCTGATGTGTTTGTTCTGTTTGGTAGGGTTTTTCATATATATATATATATATATGAATCCTTTGACCTGCTTACTAGTTTACCGCTCTCCCTTGTGAGCTAATGTAAATGGAAACATGGATGTATTAAACTCCGTAAGAAACTGTGGAAGGGTTTTTAATTTTTCGCTGGTTTATGTTAATTCAATGCTATTATAGACTTGTAGTGTATGAATTTGCAAGATGGTTCATCTCTAGATACCATCATATACGCTGTCGTCCTAGTCGTTTGCCATTTTTTCCTTCCCTGAAAAGCTCTTTTTCATCTCTGGACCTGCCCCCGATTAGATTCTAGGTGTTATACTGAGCTGAAAAAAAGATGGGAGAACGGAAGGTTTTGAACAAATACTACCCGTCGGACTTTGATCCGGCAAAGATTCCTCGCCGGAAGCAAATGAAAGTGAGGATGATGCTTCCCATGAGTATTCGGTGTGCGGTAATTACATCTACAAGGGAACTAAATTCAATATTAACGAGTTGATCTCAAGTTTTAAGGATACGAACTGCAAAAATTATATAAAAGACTTCTTCTCGAGCCTTAACGAGCCGAGTCGAACCCGACTTGTTAACCAGACGAGTTTTAAGCAAACTCGAGCTCGAGTCGTTTATCAAACAAACTAAAGCTAAACTCGAGCTTTAACGGGTCGAGTCGAATTCAAGAACAGCTCGTTTCGTTTAACGGCTATATCACTAATAGAAGTCATGTACACATTTACTATGTTTGTATTAATCACATCTATCTACACAAACCCCATTTCAAAATTTCCTCATCTTTTCCTCCTCATAACATGACATCATTTTTTATAAATTACACATATTAATATAAATTAAATATTACTTTATGGCTTATGCACATAGCAACGATCCATTGCTTATTAAAACATGCTGTGTGCATGAGAATCAATTAGCTAAAACTTAAAAGTGACTTTACATCATCTTATTGATACTATTGGGTTTCCAATAGAATGGGCTCAACTAGTCCAGACCAATCAATTATAGTTGGAAAGACGTGAAGAAATGCTCCAAAAGTTGGAAAGACGTGAATATGAAAATATTGCACATATACGATTAAGTAAAAAAGATTAGCGTTAACACGATATTAGATGAAATAATTAGTTGAATGCAGTTTACCCAAAAAAAGGGATGCAATATCCATTTTTTTAACTTTACTTGTGACAAAAAACCAAAATTTTTAAAATTTAATAACTTTTTTGTTTGTTATCAATTTTTTATGTATAATTTATCGAATTAATCATCTTTCGATGTGGTTTAATTTGATATCGATATTGATATATAAAATAAAAAATATTTTTATTTTTTATTATATTTAAATTATCTATTAATATTAATTAAAAGTTAATAAAAATTAATAGAATTATCTATATCGGGGTTTCATATTCGATAGGAAAATAAAAAACATGAAACTCTATATATATATATATATACACTTATATGTTATATAAATTATTACATATTATAAACCAAGTATAAACCGAATTATTACAGGTTATGTAAAAAAACACAATATATACTAAACATATACTAACTATAACCACAACATATACTAAAAAATATGTAAAAAAAACGCAATATATACTAAACATATACTAACTATAACCACAACATATACTAAAAAATATTTCGGTATCCGTCTTGTACAAAAAAATGCAATATATATACTAAAAATATACAAACTATAACCACAACATATACTGAAAAATATTTCGTTGTCCGTCTTTGCAAGATTTGACGCACGCGTTAAGTTTTGCACAACATATACTTAAATGCTCGTATTCGTTTTTTTTTTTTNTTACAAAACAATATCAATATGAAGGCAACTAAAAACATTGCTTTTTGTCAAGAAGTTTATTACAGATCTAGGACACAAAATAAAAAAGTTCAATTTCAACAAAATGTATTTTCTTCCATCATCAAACGTGTACCAGATTGAAAAGCAAGCGGTATTAGATTTATAGTCTATTTTGAATTGTGAGATTTATTGCCCAATTCCAGATTGCAAAACTAGCGGTCATCCTTTTTGTGGGGTCTTTTGCCTTTGCCCTTTTCCATAAACGACGTAAAAAAACCAACGATAACGATCGTGTTCGGCGGAAAAACCCCCGAAACCAGTCTCCATCTGAAAATATGGTTTTCTTTTGTTGTGTTTGGTCCGCGATTCCCATTCTTGGCCACTTCCGATTGTGGATGACTGAGAAGAGAGATTGTTGGGAGGTGGCTTGAGTGGTTTTCTGACTAGAGAAAAAGAGATAGAAGAAACATGTGGTGAGAAGTTGTAAAAGATCCCACATCCCCATAATATCTGCCGTTATCTCGTAAAACCAATAGTTACCTTTAAAAAAAATGAAAAAGGAAAATTAAAAATTGGATAAATTGCGTAGGGATGCAATTAATTTGTACAGCTGTACCATAGTTGCTAATAAAAAATTATGCTCGTATATCCGCAAATATATTTAGAATATCTCGGCCTAGGAGTAAATTTCTCAAAAGGTGGACTATATAAAATATCGAGCCCATACATGGCTTGGCCCAGAAGGCCCGTCGGGTCGATCAAGATCCGGGTTAAACAACCCGAATAAATGGGTCGTGGGTTGTCGATGGCTCGACATAATAAGCAAAATTCAAAATTTGGAAAAGGAAAATGTTGTCTTCACCTCCTCGGCCCTAGCTGCAATTTTCAAACCAAAAACCCTAACTCTCTCCGATCTTGTCGCCGCCGCGTGGACGAGCACTACCACCATCACTCGCCCCGATCGTCATAACCTGTGAGAACCCTTTTTCCTCTTTTAAGGTTTTAGTGGATTTTATATCCATTTTTTCTCCGAGCAAAGAACAATAGCAACTCATGAGCTGGTTTCTTTTAGGTTGGCTAATTTAATTTCTGACCCCATTTTAACTAACTGAATAATTCGTACGAGTCTAGAAAGAGGAAAGGAACCGTCATTTGTCAGCTCTGTAAATTATTTTGCAACCTCGGAGATAAGATTGATACTATTGTACACCTTGTAAATGCATAAATGATTAAATTTGTTAGTCCAGTCCCTTTTTGTTTGCTAATTATGTTTTTCTCTGATGTGTTTGTTCTGTTTTGTTGGGCTTTTCATATATGAATACTTTGACCCCCTTTCTAGTTTGCCGTTTTCCCTTATAAGCTAACATAACTGTAAACATGTATGTATTAAACTCCGTAAGAAACTGTGGAAGGGTTTTTAATTTTTCTCTGGTTTATGTTAATTCAATGCTATTGTAGACTTGTAGTGTATGAATTTGCAAGATGGTTCGCGAGTATAAGTTGTAAAACCATAGCAGACATACATCTACCTAAATTTATCTGAATCTTCCTAACAAGATTTT